AGATGCCAAATATGATTTGGGTTTTGGAAATTACCATTGCTTCTCCCATCACTGTTTCCTTTGAGCCAAATTGGACGTAGATTACTGAAATACTTCTGCCATTCCTGTATCAGGTCCACACATACATGAAGGACTAATATGTATCATCACAGCATAACACTTAAGAATATGTTGGGTTTAAAGATAAAAGCTATGGGTATCCATAGGATTTGAAAGATATTGGTGTAAATAGTGTACATTTATGGAGTCCACATAAGCCATATTTGGCTTATGAAGCCCTTGAGTGGTAAGTGGTTGGAGCCGGGATGTATTACTGAGAGGTATCTCATAGGCTTCACCTGATCTGCTCAACTCCAGGTTTCTGGTTTTGGCGCCGCTCAACAACTGACCCAATATGGATGCTTTTTGGTTTTGATGTTCTTGTATACATTCAAGAACCAGACACAGTACTGAAACATGAATGAATCTATAAAGGCTATCTCAAGGAGTCAAGTAAGGGTTACTAGACCAAAGTTGCCAGTATGTCTGAGAAACAGAGACCCTCATTTGGAGAAAATACAGGTCTGACATAAACACTCCATCTAAAATATACCATGAATCAGTACCTATGGACAATTAATAAAAGGTGCAAGATTTCTTTCCTAGAAATGGAAAATAATCTGAAAATAAATATCCACATGCATGAGAAACTTTCTGCAAATCTGGTAAGCATATATTGCATGGCAGAAAGACAAAGACTATCTACAAAGTAAACCTATTAATCTTTCTTTTAATTTAACAGCTAGCCTACAGAATCAGTGCAGAATCAGATATAAATTTAATGGTGGTATGGATTGTGTGAGTAAAATATGTTCACAAGTGACATCTTGGAAATACGCTTACATGAATTAAAATTTAATATATTATGGAGAACAAAGTCTTTTGTGCTTTTACAGCCTGATCCAGCTCTTTATGAAGACAAAAGAAATATTCCCATTCACTTTTGTGAGTGCTGGACCAGATCGATACCAAGAAAATAACAACCCATATGTTTCTGATTCCACTGGTCTTTTGGTGATGACGAATAGTCATCTCTGACTAAGGAAGTACTATGACTCTCAAAAGAGAGTAATCCCTGATTTACACCATTCTGGGAGAAGAGTCTGGCCCACCCTTGAGTGCATGCCTTCTTAACCCCTTAACATGTGGCAGTAAGTAAATCCTGCAGAAAAGCTGCTGAACTTGCACATGCAGTAACTTCTAAAGTAAACTCCATGGCTGCCAAAAAGTGTATAAGAAGTCAGAAATAACTTACAATATGGCAGGTGTTACAGTGCAATAAGGGCATGTCTTAGGTACATTATAAAACACAGACTGAAGTAGTTCCAGGATCTGAGAGTTATTACACAGACTATGAGGTTGCTATTTAGATTAAATTCCTCCTACCATGTCTTCAAAACAGTTTTTTTCCCCTTATTTGCTCTATTCACCACATTTAGATGCCACCATCTTGGATTTCCTTCTCTGAAAAGGAAATCTCCACTTCTCAGCATGAAACTTGAAAAGCTTTCAGTCTCAGAAGGAACTGCTGAGCCTATGTTCTACACCCACGTAACCTAAGCCATGTGGAAATATGTATGAACTGTTCACAACCTTCGAGTCCTCCAAAGCGGGCCAAGCTCAGGACCTCAGCCAGCACCATTAGTACCTCAAGCAGCAGATGGCAGTAGTTAGTGGGAAAGTCAAAAGTCAAGGGAGGGAGTGGGGAGAGTTGCCAAAGCACCTAAGAACATGCATGCATTAAAGCAACACCCTTGGAAAAGAGATGTTTGCAGTAATTCTGTGCATGGTGGTACATCCCTATGACAATGTCGATCCAGGAGATGCTGACTCTTGTCCTGAGAGTAGGATGCTGCCTCTCAACTAATAAGACCTCTCTCTGGTGGGATGCTGTCTCCTGACTAACAAACCTTCTCTCCCAGCCCACTGCAGCATTGCTTCTGCACAGCAACACAGCTGCCCACTAGGTTGGCATGTCCTCAGTGCCTGTGGAAAGCACATCTCTAGGTACGGCATATGCTCTGCAACCCCAGAAGGCCAGGGACTGGGGAAACTCTTGAGTCAAATCCGTGGGACTTCACAGCTCTAAGAATTTGACTTTTTGGCCCTTTTGAAAAATCTCACACTAGATCTTACAAAACTGGCAGTATTCACAAGAGTATAAATTAGGACTTCAAATCACACACTGATCTTACAAAAAGGGCAGTATTCACAAGAGTATAAATTAGGACTCCAAAAATAATTACTCTAAGAAGTAAAAACCAGCCTCTCATTAAGCCAAGGCTTCACCCTACAACAGCAAAAAACAGAAACCAGGACCACGTTGCCTCATCTCTAATGTGAGATAAGAAGAGCTTTGGGTACAGCTACAAGCAGGATTTTGCTTCATAGGAGGAAATCCAAGATGGTGGCTGTGAAGTGACAAATTCCTGCTCATGCTGTTTTATTTCTGCTGAACGTAATTTGGTTGTTTAACTAGCCTGGCCTTCGCGTAAAGTTAACTCCCGCACACACATGGCCTTATATTTGCTGGGTCAGTAGCAGAGGTATCATAAGAAGCACTTTTCATTTCAGTTTCCATAGAAGGGTACCAAGAATATGGAGCAAAATTTGTCTTCTCAAACATGGAATTAGTCTTCAATTTTTATAAAAACTTATTTCTTTTCGCTTGCTGATAGGAAAACTGTATACCTTCTTCAGATCTGCAGTTTTGTTGGTTTGGGTTTTTTTACTTCACAAGGAAGCAGAACTGCTTTCCCCCCCAAAATGAATGCAAGGTGGTAAAAATACGCCACAGGGCTTGTTTGGGGAGGAGGGCTGTTTGTTTTTTGAAGCCATTAAGGTGGTCATTCCTTCTACAGTCCTAACCCTTCCTCCTTGCTGGAGCTTATTCCTTATTGGCATCTCTCTTCTACCAGAGATCCGCTTTATTTGGTCTCTTCTCACACTTTTTTGACATTGCAGTGCAGCACATCACAGAACAGCCATATCACAGAGCAGAAATACTACTAGCGCTGGTGGACGGCTCCCTTCTCATCCAGGATTTCAGCTTCATTTGGCTTGTGATCAGTAGTCATGGACTCCCTAACACAGAGATGGACTCTTTTTTGCTCCTTCTGCCTTGCTTCCCTTTTTTAATCCTCCACTGTGCCAAAAAAAATTACTTTGAAAGGTATTTGGAAGCTTTTTGACTTCAACATTTTTCAAGGTGTCAGGCTGGGACTTTCCCCAAAAATAGCAATAGTTAACTTAGCTAGCTATCATGTTTTAAATGTTTGTTATATTTTTAAAGAGGTTTTTTCCTTTCTTCAGAAATATGGGGTTTCTGTTCCATACAGTGGTTCCCCTCACTTGTATTTTCTTGGTGTTAATGGGAAAGTCAATGAACAGTGTCTTAGGAAGACAGGAAGGAGGCAGAGCAAATAGTATGCACAAATCAGGGAGAATTTCCTTGTTCTTCCCTCAGAAAATCATGTCTGCTTTGTTTCCGGCTTTCTGTAAGGAATAGAAAAAAGCCACTTAAGTTAGCAAATGAAGTTTCATTTCAGCTGGGGCAACTGATATAGCTCAAAGCATGTCAACTGAGTATGTTATGAAGAGAAAACCTGCTCAGCTTAGTGGGACTTTATCTTTTACTTAGACACTAAAAGGCAAGGGGTTGCACTGTGCCTGCAAGCAGCTGCATGCAGATGGCAATGCATTGAACTCGCCTACAAGAGTTTGAACTGTAAAGCGTACAGTAAAATTCTGGATTTTAAACACTTTTTAAAAAATTCCTTCTCATTTTCACTCATCCTGGCAAATTTTTGCCCTTCATGAGCTTCACAAGTCAAATCAGGCAAGCAGGACACCGCTTATTGTTCAACTCCAAGCGATGAAGGGTGGAGAAAGGATTTGGCATCGCACTAAGTGCTGGGAAGGGCTTTGGGTCCCTAAGATTTCACTGTTGTCAGTGGAGAGAGATGGCAACTCCTGGCTCAAATTGCAGGTATGCAAAAGTGCTCTCTGGAAAGGCTCTTTTCTCTCTCTGTGACTTTGGAAGGAACCCAGGTAATGAATACAGATATAGATAGACAACAGCTGTAGAAAAATACTCTTCTCTTCTCTTCTCTTCTCTTCTCTTCTCTTCTCTTCTCTTCTCTTCTCTTCTCTTTTCTTTTCTCTTTTCTTTTCTTTTTTCTTTTCTTCCCTTCCCTTCCCTTCCCTTCCCTTCCCTTCCCTTTCCTTTCTTTCCCCTTTTTTCTCCCCTTCCCTGCCCTGCCCTGCCCTGCCCTTCCCTTCCGTCATTGCTGTAAGGAGGAAAATGCACACACACACACAAACACACTCTCTGTGTCCCCACTGCTACATTTTACAGAACAGGAACCAAGTCCCAGGAAATGCAAGGTACTTCTGCAAGACCTAGAGTCAGGCCAGGACCCTGGGACTTAAATGTGCTACAAGTGCATATATATTTATATGGTTTACACAGCAAATGTGTAAATTCTTGTGCAGCATCAGGTATATAACTCAGCTTTGCATTCATGCTACCAGGGTGGTTTTAGAATAAACTTGTGCCCTTGCACACCAGCAATCTGCACGCCAGGAAAACTGTGGCTCAGTTTAGTTTGGTGCAACTTGCACTGAGCATATGTTTAGGGAACTATTGTAGGAGGAAGAGAGCTGTATATTCCAGGCTAACGCTGGGATTATGTGTCATCTGACTGGGCAGCTCTGGGGCATTAACTGACAATGCATATCAGGTTAGGTTAATAATCTACCACTTGGTTCTGCTTGAGCAGATCTGTGTGCTCAGGCTAGAGATCAGTGACAAAACACGGAGTCTTGGAGGGATAGGATTAGTTGCTCTGTGATCAGCAGGATGGCACTTGCACCACAAGATGTACAGACTTAATGCCTGGATCTGCTCTGAATCAGAAGCTACATCTGGAAAGTAGCAATACAAATCTGACTCTCCAGGGATGCCCACAGCAATGAAAGCAGGCTTGGATGACAAAATGACAGACACTGGCAATGTGGATGGGATATTACCAGAATGGGAGAAAAACTTCAAGGATATAAAAATACCTGCTTGTTTTAACAAGATGCCCCAAGAGACTGGGAAGACTTTCCCTCACTCCAAACAAGTTGGGAATTACCTAGTAGGCAAAATGATCAACAAGGGCTCCTTTGCCAAGGTGATGGAGGGGCTGCACATCCCCACAGGGGAGAAGGTAAGCTCCTAATGAGAGGGTACCATGCACTAGGAATTGCAAGTAACCTCACACTAATTTATGTCAGAAAATTTCAGACCATTTAATCCACAAACCACAACCTACTCAGTGAATTATCCTCTGAACCTTATCCTCATAAATTAACCTCATAAATTGAGTTTATTGCTTATGTATAATCAGTCACATGTGTGAATATGTATTGAGTGCAACTGTTTTCACAATTATAAAACAATATAGACAACAAAGATATCCTCCTGCTGAAAGAGAACAGGATGATGGCATAAGGACAATTTCAAATCTGCTTTCCTTGATAATCCTCATTGAGTAATTAGTGCCGTGTATCTGACCTTTAAAGCTATGGACAACACTTATTGAAAAGCCAGCCACTCCAACAGCAATCATTTATCTGGCAGGAGACAGATAACATCTGTTATCTCTAGCTCAGTTGGGCTAAAATAAGATAGCACTAGACATAACTGTGGAAAGGTGGATTACTATCAAGTGGCTTTTTGATTTTTACTTTTTTTGTGGCTTCAGTAGCTTCACTGGCTGACTAGCTTCCCAAACTGCAAAGAGTTTAATCCCAGCCCATTATAGCCAGCATCTTGAGTAGCTTTTAGACCAAGTCAGAAGGGAACATGTGAGAAAAAAGATGTGGTACAGTACAGATGCAGTTACCAGTCAAGCAGGTAGGGATTTTTTGATTTGAGAACATTTCATATATGCATATTTATTTATGCAGAGGCATAGATATGACAGAATTCAGCTTTCCTGGTTTGGCCTTCAAGAGAAATAAAAAGTGTATTCTTCCATCAGGAATGTCTCCCTCTCTGATACTGATTATCAACGCCATGTCAAAAACAGCTTCACCCATGTCAGCTTACTCTCCATCGTTTTGAAAATTAATCTGGGTTGCAAAGCTTTTTGCCAATTTGCATATATCCTGCAATTTAGGTAGCCATAAAAGTCATTGACAAGAGAAAAGCCAAGCAGGATTCCTACGTTTTAAAAAACATGAAGCGCGAGCCACGGATACACCAGATGATTAAGCACCCCAATGTTGTTCGGCTATATGAGACCTTGGAGACTGACAACTCCTATTACATGGTGATGGAGCTGTGCCATGGCGGGGACCTCCTGGACAGAATTTGTGACAAAAAGAGGCTGGCGGAAAGGGAAGTAAGGAGATACACCAGGCAAATTCTGTCTGCAGTAGAGCACCTGCATTGCCAGGGGATTGTTCACAGGTAAGATGTTTCCCCTCTTCCAAACAGCAGTAAGAAATGAAAGTGTGCAAGAGTGTAGAGTGGTCTTCTTCACTGAGAGCATTTCTTTAATTTTCCCTTGTAAAAACAGGGATTGCCAAGAAGACTATGTTTCTCAGCCCATCTTAATAAAGTATTTTATTCTCAGTGGTGGTAGAAGATAAGCTGTTACGCACTCCATGGGGAGTAAAGTAACGAAGTCCAGGGATAAGAGCTGACGAGTGCAACAAATCAATACTTTGCCACGATTATCTTAGAATTAGCTGGTGACAAACATGTATCTAATTCAAATATTTCAGTGTGGCTATGCATGTAAATATTGATTTCATTTGGTTAGCCACAACATATTGAAATAAGCACACATCACTCCGGACAGAAGATTGAGGAATTACAGCTCACTGTCTGCACAGAGGATGTGGTCCTGTGGGTCCAGGTCTTTGGCAGGTCGCTGACCTTCCACGCTGGCTTTTGCATTATGGGGACAGATCATGACTTCAGCCACTTCTAGAGGAACCTGAGCAGCCCATGCAAGGAGAGCTGATCTTCTTCCCCGCATTGGGGATCTCGGCACATGTGCCAAGAACAGCAGAATAAGGACTTCCATTTTAGGTGGGACAATAGGCAAGAAGCAGTTTTTCCCACCATTTTTCTGTTTTACTTAGTAATTCATGGTCAATCAGATCCTTAATTTTAAATGGTAAATGCACTCATCAAGAAAGCCCCCAGGACCTAACAAGTAATCCAGTTGACTGTATCGTTACAGCAACCATGAAACAAATAAGCTGTGAATGTGATGGCTCAGCATTTACAAGTGCTTTGTGACTTGAAATCCTCACAATCCAGCACCTAATTATATTGGATTTGTTAATTAAGAAGGAATGGACAAGAAAGAAACAGTCAGTATCTGACCTAGAGAATTTAAACAAACAAAAAAAAAACCCGCCAGAAAATAAGCCCAAGGGGCTTCACCCATTTAGTCCAGGTTGACATCCCTACCTTGCTGGTTCCCTAACTAATCTATTTTACAGCATTTCTTCAGTGCTCATGATCACAACATTTACGTTCTTCCCATGACAACATTCCTCATGAATTTCTCAAGCCCTCTTCCCTTTTTTTTGTTTGGCAACAACTCTTCCCGGTGAGCAAGGGAGTAGCCTGACTTCTTCCCCTACTTTTATCTTCTTCTGTTGGTAACATTTTGCTGGGAAAGCTTTGCAATAGAGAAGAATTTTGCTGCACACCCCAAGAGTAGTCAGGTACGAAGTGGTGTGAACTCCTCTGGAGACATGCTTTAATATCAAACCTGCCTAACCAAAGGAAAATTCATCCCTGGCTCTCAAGTGCCTTTTCATAGGGTTTATGAAGTTGCATGGCCCAGCAGGAGCCCAGCTGCCTTGCTAGGTCATGGGCATAGGTTTGGTGAGCAGTACCTCAACTCGTGACCTGCTGTTAGGTTTGAGATTCAGAGCTGTGGCCTTAACCTCATACCAGAATCAGACTGGAAAGGATCTGGAAGGGTTTCCCTGCTCAGCTCCAGTAATTTATAGCAACTCGCTGCTGAGGTTAAACTGATGAGGATAATTGTGGGTGTATCCTCTTCTGAAAAAAGGGCATCGATGTTTCCAGAAAGATGAGCACAGAAACAGGAAAGTTACCTCACAAAGTCAATCTGATTTTCTCATCTAAGCACTGAGCAAAGCTCAACTCTTTGCATTGCTTTAACATAAGGAAAGGAGGGTTCCCAAACTGCCTGTTGGGAACAGCTGCTGCTCCACGGGGACGGTGCTGGTAAAATCACACCAGGTATCATGGTTCATGACATGGATAATTGTGTGCCAATGCCTGGGTCTATGCCCAGGCCCCCTTTATTGTACTAGAATGGAGGTGCCTTGTGATTGCAAGTTTTCATTCCTAAGTGATGAGCTTAGGAATTTGCTAATTTAATTTAATTTTGCTCAGAAGTGTCTTACAGGCATTCCTGATTTTTAACCCTGGGACATACCTCAGAAAAACAGTATTTTCTATTGTCTTAATAATATACTTGATGAAAAACTGGCTGGTTTTGTAACTATTTTTAGTCCAAACTGATATCACTCATCAGAAATCCTGTGCTATGTTTTGACAGCTATTTTGTTTCTTGAGCTTTACTTTTCCTATTCAGCACTAACATCAGCACTGATCCAACAAATCTTTATGGCCTAAATTAAGGTTGAGTCTACATTTCACAGTAAAGGTAGTACCTTTCTTGTCCATGCAAGATCACTGTTGATTTTGATGCCACAGTTGCCAAAATGATCCAGAAGATGGATCACTGACTCACTTGCCTATTCTCCCAGCACACAGCATTTTACTGTGCCAGATATAAGAATGCTCAGGCACGAGATCAGGTTCAACAGCTTCACAAGCTAACACTCATCAGCTGAGGTCTGCTAACTATCCCTATGCCTGCTCTAGACATGGCCAAGTGGTGAGGTAATGCATCTGAGCTTAAAAACCTCAAATAAAGACATATAAGCTAAATCACATTACCTCGCAATTGGATTGGGCTAGCACATGCACACAGTCAGCTACCAACTCCTAAAGCTGGTGTTTGCTAAGTGACAGTAACTTGCTTGTATGTACAGTTCCTAATTTTTCCTGGATATTTTTCCTGAATATTTTCCCTTCTCCCATATATCCTTTTGAAACACTGCTGGACCAAAGACCTGGAGAAGCATCACAAGCTGCCCTCTAGGCACTCTCTCTGAAGTCCCCATGGGAATGAGAAAAAATTCATGATGTTGCTTAAACTTACAACATTTCTGGGAAAGTTTCCTTTGGAAAAAAAGAACAAGATGTATCTTTGATGCAAGATAACTTCTGACACTATGTAAACTTTAATAGTGACCATTATCAGTTTTTTCAGGCAAGAAAGCATACATTTTTATTAACTGTGTGAGCTCTCAGCTCAGCATATAGAAGAGCAGTTGTGGCAATCCAATGTAACATTATTTGACTGTAGTGTAGTAAAAGTCATCAGGGTGCACTGTGGGGTGCTAAATCCGATAGAAATGCCAGATTGGCAGTGGCCTGAAACACAACTAGTTTTAAACCACACAGTTTTAGTGCACAGAGTTATGTCACAGGGATAGGCTATAAACGAAGTTATCTCAAATCTACCTCCCAGCTTTTGGGCACTGGCTTCTTTGCCACTCCAGAAAACATGCTATTGAAATTAAAACTGATTAAAAAGTTATCATTAAAACCATCTCCACCCCATGTTCAGCCTGGGGCAGCAGAGGCTTTCAAATGCAATGCTGTCCCATCCAGAACCATGGAGATAAAAGAATGCTCCCATAAAACCACCCGTCAGGACCACCAGGTACACCTCCAGACTTAATCCCCTGCAGCAATGCAGTGCTGTTCGTGCAGCACTGGTCCTCCCAGCCCTTGCTCCTGTCCTTGTTCCCATCCCTCCTTCTGGTTTGTCATCCTGTACTCTCCGAGGTCTTTGGGCTGACGGGAGGGAAACCCATGTACCCAGAGCCGCTTCTGAAACTTGCTCTGTCCCTCCGTGTCCCCCACAGAGCCGAGGAAAGCCCCCAGTGGCACATGAGAGGCTGTGATGGGAGTCAGCAAAGCATCACAGGCTCCTGGACTGGCTCCCAACACCCAAATTACACTGGCTGAGGATTCCTTCACACTGTGAAAGATTTGAGCTGCCACTTCAGGCGCTCCCCACAGTGGAGCAATATTCTGGCTTCTGGTTTGAATTTGTAAGGATATAAATGTTCCCACAATAAGAGAGTAAGCACCTGAGCCAGCTAACAGCATTTTTTCTGCAGCTCTGAATTATGTCCTCCTGTGGGGGCAGCTGATACTGGTTGACCCTGTTTACATAAACATCACTGTGGAGATGTCTCCACCTTCAGGGTATCTGTTCCCAACCCAGGTTTGGTACATATCCCCTCTTCCGCAAGCAAGACAAACCTTACTTTCCAGTTCCCTTCTCATCCTTCATATCTCTCCGGCATGATTTACTCACAAAGAAAGCAAAAATAGTCAGCAGTGCTCAGTACTTCAAACAAAGACAAAAAAACTCCGGTCCAAATATGTGTAACTTTCTTTGTTACTCAAAAGAAGAAATAAATGCTGTTCACTTTTTTAAAAAAATACATAGGTAGAATGGATGATTCCTAAATGAATGGTCTATTTAAAATATATACGTATAAAATATTCCCTGAAATACAGAAAGTTTCCATTTTCCCAACTGAAAACTTCAGGAAGGAATAAGGACCTTGTTACAATTGTAGGCAGAGCTGTGCAGAACTATTGTTATTATTTCAATTAAACTTTGCTAAAAACTATCTGCAAATGGTTAGCTGGGACATCAGGCATCTTAAAGCTTGCTTTCTGTCTTCATTTCAGGGACCTAAAAATTGAAAATTTTCTTCTTGATGAGAACAACAACATCAAAATTGTTGGTAGGTGCACGTTATCTGTGAAGCTTGGTTTCAGCTTTTTATTTTGTGTGGCTTTCAGTGACAGTTTAGCTACTATTTAAACAGCACATTTTATGACTAAGCTTGTGATTATTCAGTAAACGTAGTTGAGCTTTTAGAATAAATAGAAGTTATGAAGTATAACTTAAGAGCTTGTTTATTTGAGCTTTAACTAAAACATATTTTTAAGAGAACAAGGAAAACAATTTTGCCTATTCTTTTCCCTTGTGTATTGCTGAAGAAGCAAGAAACAATTACAGCTTTTATGTGTAGAAAGCTGTTCCTAGCAGAAGTGATTTGTAGACAAAGAAATAAATCTTCTGGGGTGAAACACAGGTATGGACACATTAGCTTCTGTCGAGTCATTACTCCAACTAGAAACCTCATCGTTTGGTATGTGCTAAAAAAAAAAAAAGACTGTTTTGGTCACTAACAGAAATCTTGCTAGGGTTGTGAAGCAAACATGTATAAAAATGAGGGAATTTGCACCAAGCAGTTAACACAGCTCAGAGAAACATTAATTTTATTCTATGGAAACCGCACAGAAAAATCCCCGCAAGGGAAGCTCACTCTTGGAGACACCACATGTTTAACCCAGTGTTTCCCAAACTTTTAAAAGCTTAACACCTCTAAGAAAAAAGGCACTAACTCTTCACCCCTGTTTTATAGCCAGCCAGTCTTTCACAATCACACCTTTCTCTTCCCTCCCCCTTGCACACATGCACATATACAGAGAAAATGGCTTAAGTTAGCACATTTTACCCCACATTTACAACAGGCTAAAGCACACCCAGCTGAGCCAAATGCCGTAGCTGATTAAGCCATGCTAATGCAGCTGTGTAGCTAAGCTCTTGTACTAGCATACAGAAACCAAAATCAACCAAACCAGACCCATGGCTGGGTAACTTCACTGTTACTCCTCTGCTAATTCATGGCCCATTTATTTGAACCCAAATTGATATCCACAGCTGAGACATCAACAGATGCTATAGCTAGCTGCTGTTTTCATCTTTCTCCTATCTTCAGCCAACTGGTAAAGCTGAAATATTTTGAGAAGAGACCAAAACTTCTTTGCCTTTGTTTTTGTGAGTGTCAGATTTTGGACTGAGCAATACTGCAAAGTTCAAGGATCTCTCCCAGGAGCTGTTACATACCCAGTGTGGAAGCCCAGCTTATGCTGCCCCAGAACTCCTTGCTCATAGGAAATATGGTCCAAAGGTGGATGTCTGGTCCATGTAAGTAGATCTAAAAATATACTTATTAAAACACTTTCAGCACTGAATGGTTTAGACAAGACTGATACAAATGGGTTGGTGGTACTCAGCTTTGGGGCATCAACAGCAAAAGCAGAGATATATCAGAGAAGGGTTGCCAGAAAAAAAACAAACTTATGGGTGTGAAAAAAGTATCTTGAAATGTGTATCCATTGCAAAACACTGGACAAAAAACCAAATGAGCAATACGCATGCCATTCTGGAGAAACCCTGTGGCAAGGGAAGTCAGCAGAAGGTAGGGTATCTGGATCTAGGAGCCTGTTCTGAAAAGACAGAGAAAGAACTTGCATGTACCAACCCCCTCAGGTGAAACCCCCACCCTCCTCTCCTGGCACACAAGTTCAGCTGATATCTGAGTAACTTCTGTCAAAATCAGAAGCCCTGGAAGCCCTGGACTGACAAATGGGCATTTTATGTCTAAGGCATATTTTGCCAAAAGAAGAAATCTAAACAGAGAAGTTGAATCTCAGGAACACACAGACCAAAGATGTGGCTATAGCAGAGCTATGAGACCTTCATCGATACCTTAGTGAGGCCCTTTACATCAGATTATGATAAAAAGGTGGAGTTATTTACTTCATAGGTGGCACAAACCTGAATGTACTTCATTTTCCTTGTTCATTACATCTACAGGATGTATCTCTTATAATAAAGAAGAATGCAAAAGGTGCCATCAGAAGAGTAATTTTTCACATAAATTATCTCAGACTTTTCAAATGCATCTGTGGTTCTAGCAGCCAACTTGTGGGTTTTTTACTTTTTTGACAGTTTTTCTAGGTGGAGCTGGGAAAATGATAGTATATTAAGTCAATTTTTTTATCCTTTGATCTTCATGGATGTGGATAGAAGACTGGCTCTCCATGTCCATCATTCGTCCAAAGGCAATTCATGTTTATCTATATGTATATATGTATGTGCCCACGTATCAGCTTCTCCTCAACTGTTTTGATATTAACCATGTGCCCAGGTCTGAGTGTTCCACGTAGAACACATTTTTTAAGGACATTTCTAGCAGGTATGGTAGATGAGCATAGAAGATGAGCATGAGTAATATAAACTAAGCCAAATCTTCATCTAGACCATTAAGATTAAAACACCCTGTGGCTGGTCAAACACACCTTTGTCCAGACTCCTCCCACCCATTTACAATTATAACCATAATTCCTTGCAGTATCTGAACGAACAAGTGGTAGGGTGAAAATCCAGCTATTGAAGCCGGTGATAAAAGCCTATGGATTTCAAACAGCTCACAAGGCTTGTAAGAGTGATCAGACTTTCTGGCTTAGAAGTGCCACCTCCCATCCCACCCCACAACCATATTATCTAAAGGCTCTTAATGTTCTGCTTCTGTTCAGTGCACAATGCTAATTTGATCCAAATCCAAACCACCTCATTCAGGACACCTGACAGAAGGAATGGGAGGCCTGGACATACAGAGCTGCTCTGAATTGGGATGTCCCACTTGCTCGTCCAGCTGTGAGAATATGGAGTCTCCTTGAGGAGTTCTCAGCAGTCTTTACTAAACTGTGTATTCACAGCGTTGCTGGTACCTACATATAGGCATCTGATTCAGATGTCTAAAATAGAAGCTTAGCATTCCTATATGCTCGGAAGAGAAAGAGCATTTATATACACATAAATATATAATGTACATTATTCCTCTCAAGACCTGCTTCTGGCAGGCATACTATATATTACGGTTTTGACCTAACTATGGTTCTTATACCTCAGCTTCCTCTAAATTTACAGGGTATGAATGGTACACAAAGTTAAGGATGAAGGGCCAAATTCTACCAAATAACTTCAGTGTAAAAGTCTGGATTTCAAGAGTGCTACTCTGAATTTATGTAGACATAACACAGATGAATCAGGTCTAGAGGATGCTGTCAGCACTTAAATAGGGTAATACTTATTTCACGTTTCAGATGTCTGAATGCGGGGAAAGCAGTAACCTTAGAACCATTTACTGAGCTCACTCTGTTAATAAACATCACATAACAGGTCAAGGGCTATATAAAACTTACATATGGCCTTTGGTGTTTAACATCTGCATCTTAGGCATAAAACATATTTACAATTTAAATCTGAATTGTTCACATTATCGTAGTGGAAAAAGGAATTCTGATGGACTAAAATTTTAATTAGAAAGATAAGTTACTTCTATTATCACAAAATACATAAAGGATTACAGATCGACTGGACTCTGGAATCAAAAGGTTTCAGTGTAGTGCAGAAATACTGATTTTATGCAGCAGGACTGAGGAGTCATTACAACGGGAACCAGAAAGCCATATTCAGTCAAAAGCACATTCAGAAAAGCAACCAGATTGAACTGCAATACAGCTAAGGCTCCTATGAGGCAACAGCGAACAGCAGTGCCTGTTTTGCCTAATCATGGCTTTTGTGCAGAAGATTTTAAAGATTCTTCGGAGGACTGGAAAGTGATTAGCTTTTGTGCACCAGCTGAACTGAGGAAACAGCTGCTGTATTCAAACAAATCCAGATAGTTCTGTGGGATAGAGGAGAAGCAGATTGTTATAGCTAATAAACTTTCAAGTTTAACATACCATCAGATTCCAGCTACAATTAACACTAAGTGCATTACTGTTAACTAGCTACAATTTGTGTCTAAGATTTGAAAAGAGATTTTAGGACAGCAGCTCCATCCATTCCCGAAATTCCTGTACCCTGGGGATTTCCCCATCCAGTAGGCTGATGAAAAGAGCTATTGCCAGTTTAAAGCACCAATCATGCATATCATCACCAGCAATTTGAAGTGCATGGTACTGTTTACAGTGTTGAAAAGAAAAATGTATTTAATGTTGTAATGACATTAGAGATCCATTTGCACTGCATATTACTCCACTCATCAGAGAATATTCAGGGGCCCTTCTCTCGCTTCAACTGCAGCTCCATTAAATTCACATGCTATTATGTATTATACAACAACAATCCTTGCTACTTCAGTCAACTCAGTGTTGTTTCATTGCAGTGTTTCCTTTGTATCTCTGTACATTTTTACTCAAAGGATTCATCAGGAAAGTTTTCAAAAGCATTACATTCAAGGACTAGATTTACCGGAAGGTTTGGTAAAGTGAGAAGCGATTAATCTCACTTAAATTTAGCCATCTAACAACCAGGCATTTGGATTATACCAGGCAGTTAGTGTCCTGTTATTGCCAGTGCAGGAGATAGCTCATCTCCTGAGATACTTAACTGTAGCCTAAAACAGCTGTATAACATAGCTGTGACGCATCTCTCTTGGAATGGCCCATCTCTTTCCATTGATAACTACTGATACCTAGGTTTTAGCTAGTTAAACTGAAGCAACATAAGTCCTAGCTGAGAGTAATAAAATGCATTTATCCATAGGTCACTGGTTCAATTGCAATCTAATGCAACAATTAGAAAAAGGTGCCACCATCTTCTCACGGTTTTTCAATGATGCCATCATATTCTCATAGTTTTTCAACCATCTGAAAACATTAAAAAAATGTTGCAGTTGTGCACACCCAGAGCAGATCTGTTTCACAGATAACATTGTGATCGTCTGCACTAATGTACGAACCAGATCAATTAAATTAGAATTGCCTGAATTCCTAAAATGACTGTCTCAACTAAGTTCAACAGAGAAATGGCAAAGGATGGCAAAGGGAAGTGCTGTTGTGGTGGTGCAGCTCAGCTGGAGCAAGGAAGTACCATGGAGAGTGTTCAAGGAAACCTCCCCATTCGCAAACTCGGACAGCTAAGCAAGTTTTCCTTTCCAAACACTGGTACTTCTCCAAACTGAATGGCAAACCTTCACAAAGTTTGCTGATTGCTGCTAGCAGACTGTTAGTCTTTCGCAAGAGTTAAAGTTTTAAGTCTTCAGCCAACAGCAAGCTGTTACCAAACAAATGCCTTCTAGGCATAAGTCACACCTAATTTAGCAATCTGAGCAAAGCAAGAAGAACTGAATTACTGTTTGGAATAAGATCTATCACATCAGTCCCAGCTCTGTGTTGTCACTCAGCCTCCAAACCGAAATGCTTTATTCTGATGGGCTGGGTACGCTACACTGACACTCCAGTGAGCTTGTTTTAAAAATAAACAGCAGGTTTCCACTTTCAACACTGCAGGCTTTCCAGTCACTCACTGTACAGTCTATTTTATACACAGTTCCCACAACATTCTTTTCTAGAAAAAGTGGCATTTACATGAGGAAAAAAGGCACAAAATGTGTATTTGGTACAAATTGCTGCTTAGAGGTGATTTGTAACCTCGTTCTTGATACTGAAGGCAAATCTCTGAAACTTGAGTCATAGCTTTGTGGGATTTTTTAACAAATATTTATTAGCATTAAATGGAGCTCTGATGTTTGTCTTTTTCTTTGATAGAGGTGTAAGCATGTTTGTTATGCTAACCGGCACATTACCCTTCATGGTGGAACCCTTTAATATCAAGCAACTACATCAAAAGATGTTAATTGGAGAAATCAGCCCTATTCCGTCAGATATCTTCCCTGGTAAAGCACTCCAAGTTTTATAAAGAATACTGATGTATAAAAGGTCTAACCCATGTAGCAAAGTGAATTTAGCAATAACGTAATCTTCTGGAAAATAAAAGGTACCTTTTCCAGTTGCTTTGTTTGCATTTAGAAATAACTTTTTTGTGCCTTAGGCAAGATCTCTTTACCCAGGCTAGTAGGAAAATAACATTGTTGTCTCTTTAAAAGACTACTATTCTTGGTTCTTCTTTACAGGGGGAATAAAATGTACATTGCTTTTACATAAGTGGGGCAGCTGTGCAGTAAATGAGAACACTGTCGTGTTTAGTATGTCTCACGCTGTGTGTCATAGCCAGGCATTCTTTCCTGTTTTTCCCAAAAATCAGTTATCAGAACCTTAGATAATTTTTCCTGAAGAGCTTATCTTTTGGCTACAGACAGAACCCACAACACTGAGATAATTAAAGAAATGGGAGGGCTATTTTTGTGAGGAGCTTATTCATATTTTTCATGAGAAAGAACTGAAATACAACATTTTTCAATGAATCTTACTGACAATCTTTAATGAGGTACAGTCTATGGAGTCTTTTAGGGACAACTGGGAAAGATAGTTCTCAAAAGTTCTAGCCTGAATTACAGCCCATAGTTCTAAAACCCAGAAGTCATGTTAGTGTATATACACTCTGGGTTAGCAGTCTGAAATTTACTTCCTCCAAGCTCAAAATTCTGCTGCTTTACAATGACTCCTATACACCTCTGGCTTTAGTCCCTATTTTCTCTCCACCTGGACTAGCATCTTCTCTGTCGACCATCACAGGCTTGGACCCCTTCTCACAGCTGTTATCGTGCAGCTTCACTGACCAAGTCAGAAAGCAGAGCAGAATGAGACATGTTCTGCCCAGCTATCTACCAGCATGAGTTCCGATCTCACCATCGTTTTGAGCAGCTTTACTCTGACATTATGCAAGAATGACCCTAGGAACCAAGATTAGCTTCAGTGGCTGCCTGCAGCCAAGTGCTGGGAAGCAGCAGACAGTTCCAGACTAAGCTAGCTGGATCTAGTCTGGAGTTACAGTATCAAGATAATGTGATGATTCAATTTCTTTTTCTCCCCCAGTAAATGGTATGAGGATATCTACCATAGCTGTCCAGAATGTTTGTACATTAGTCTCTCATTTATCTTTCTTTGGAGATTGGTTGCCAGATAGCAGCTCCATTTTTCTACAAGCCCTCCATAGCTGCAATTATTATATTTCTAATTTTTCTTATTTATGCTATTGTTATAGCTTCTACTAATAAATGCATTATCTCTGCTTTTCTACAAAGCCCACACAGTTAGTGGAAGATTGCGGATAACTCCATTGTTCCCTTGCCCATTGGGAATTTAGTGAGAGAGCAGTAGTAAACAAGCTTTGCATACTTTAGATCTAAGTTCTTCTGAAGGAGATTACAAGTGAAAGGAGCAGTATGTTCCCAGTTTAATGCTCACTTGCCATTTTGCTCATTTCAAAACATCCCCAAGGAATATGGAAGAATTCAGCAGAGTTTTCCCAAGAAGAAAAAAAGAGAGGGACTTTATGCAGTGTTGGAGCTGAGTGATAGACATATGGGAATGTTTGAACTTTCTCTGTCCCAACTCCAGGAAGCCAAAGTACAACACATTACCTGAGCACACAGGTCCACCTCCCTCCTTCGATACAGAGAGTTTTATCAATGAGATTAGCTTTTTTGTGTGAGGAACATTAACTTCTGGGTAGTCAGCTGGCACAGAAGTGCCCCTTCTCAGAGCCTTGATCAAATGCTGAGTGAGCACAATGCTGAGATTGCTATTGATGCCGTAGGCTGCATTCACAGGGGTAAATCGAGCAAATTAGGAAGTGAGGTCCAGTGCTGTATCTACAGCAGCAGCTTCCACAGGTCCATAGCATGCCTCCCACCATGGTTTGGCCCATGCTGCCCACCCAGCTCAGGTGTCCTTGGGGGAACAGGGTCACCACACAGGACCACAGCAGTTTCAGAGGAGAGCTGGAGCTGATTTATTCAGCAGTCCAGAGGCAGCCCTAGAGACTGGATTTTAGCTGAGTTACTTACAATGTGGAGAAGCAGGGCAAGTGCCACATTTCTGAAAAAGGAAATTTTGCACTGCCCAAATAATCAGGTGTTACTAGTAAACAAGCTATTTCATCTGAATACTGCACAGGAGCTGTACACTTCATGCAGTCCTTACTTGAGCCTGACCCTGCTAAGAGGCCTGGAGTCAAAGAAGCAATAAAAGACAAATGGTTGAACGAAGGCTTCACCAGGAAAATACTGAATGCTGCTACTTACGAGAACAGGTAACAATTTTCACATCTCTCTTCTAGCTTGGGATTTCAGGATTCAGGATCTGGGGGGGGAAGTGTTGGGGGTTTTAGGAATTTTGTTTCTTTGTTTGTTTTTAGAAGATTTTTGTTATCTGCTCAGGGCTGTTCCAAAATGACAGAATTTTATTTCAGAAAACACCACATCAACTTTTCTCACCATGGATAAATTTTATATAAGAGGAAACATCCTCATAGAACTGCTTATATCCATTTTATCAATAATTTTGTTCTCAACATGCCTCACTGGTGCCACTAATTTCTACACAGTGTGCTTCTAATCCTTTCCTGCAAAACTAGGTCTCACATGCCCACCTGAGGGAATGAAATTTTTATATTACACTGAAGTTCTTGTTATTCTAATTATTTTTATTCTCATCCATCTTTGTAACAGGCCTTAACTAGTCTCCATTTTTTCTTAGCAAGCCACTTCACAGTTTAAAATTATTATAAAAGTTTGAAATAGATATGTGCAATATGACACTTCACCTAAATATTGCCAACTTTTGAGATGTTATTGATCTTTCATATTGGGAGGCTGCCAAGTATACTTTGCATGTCTTTAAATACCTAATTTCAGTGATGGACCTTCTACATCTTCCTCACAGCTGAAAGTAGCTAGTCATGGGTCAAATATTTTGTGACCAGATCATTCTGTAAAAGCCAATAGTTTACACTAATTGAAAAAGAGAGCAATTTGGCCTGTGTAATCTGCACCATCTGCAATGGTATCTACAGGACACATGCAGGTTTTCCTACCACAATCCAGGTGATCCACTGCCAGTCCCAGCCAGGGCTATTAGAAATTTATGCACAATTTGTTCATTTCTCTGAGAATTGCCCACCACTCCTACCTTTGCCTTCCTTCCCTCCCCTCAGATGTGTCTGTGCCCATTCATATTGAAGTTTGACAAGTTTGAAAAAATGTCTTCGGAGTCTCAGAATCCAAGGCTGTCATATTTCTAAAATGCCTTTACTAGACTTTAATGCTTACAGAAGCTTGTCACCAAAATAATTATGATTGTAACATAACCAGTTTTATTTCACAATCTGATTTATATAAAAATAAAAATCCTTCTGTACTTTCCTTAGGTTTTTTTTTGCCCTTTGAGATTTTCCTGCCTTTGGGGCTCTTCCTTTCTTCCTACGCACACGCACAGACACTATCTCTCTGCTAATCCGTTTGAGACTACTGTACTGAGAACCAAAATATACACACTTGATTAAAATGAGAAAATGCTGTTTTCCATCTTTTAATTTTTCAAGCTTAATCCTGGAGGGTGTCCTTTCAGAGTAATCAATTATATCAACAATAGGATATTTAGTAATGCAGTAACAGCCTCAGCCCAGCAGTGAAGTTAGCGTAGCCAGACAGAGGATTTTTGCACAACTGTGTATCATAATCTGTCTGTACAATCGACTTAGCCTACTCCAGCTACATCACAAGAAGTGTGTTGTCCACTTACTGTAAATTCAGACATTGTACCTGGATGCATCATTTGTATTTAAATACTTTTTCCTAATTTTTCAGACTTTGCCCCAGTGAGTTGAATCCTGTTGTTTTAAACTACATGACAGAAATTATGGAGTTCAGTCTTTCAGAAGTTATCAACATTTTAATAAATAACAGACCGTCTCCTGCCATGGCTTCTTATTGCTTATTGCTGAAGAAACTGCTCAGGTACCAGAAAGACCGCAAAAGAGCCCAGGTAAGATATCATGATCATGACAGGCATAAAGTGCTCCCTGGATTCTTATGAGGAACATCACAACAGCCACACAGCACACGTGCAAAAGGTGGTTGTCCATGGAATGGAGATAAAATTCATCAAAAATAGTAGTGAAATTGCAGATCTGGGTGCAGTCTCAGGAAACCTACTCTCTGGCATTCTCAGAGGTGATTATTTTAAGAGATTTTTTTCCCCCAGAGATAAATATACCCTTTTTTTATGACTAATGAATTTAAAAAATGGGCTGCTGGTTGTAACGGGATTGAGAATTATTTTACTTTACATAAAAGATTACTTTTCCATTGGGAAAAGGAGCATTAGCATCTCAGTGACCTCGCCATCCCTTCCCTTTCTGACTGGTCTGTGAGGGCCTGATCCAAAGTCTGGGGAAGCGAGTGGGAAGCTGTGAAAGTTGTAAAATCTTTTCCCAGCATCTTTTTTTGTATTTTTACTGCTGTATCGTAGGCTCACACTCCAGCTCTGACTCACTCAGGGACATGGAGTGAGATCAGAGGGGACAAAAGTTTAAAAAATAAATTCAGAAAATTATGGTAATCGCTGGTAAGGCCACAATTAGTTAAAAAGGCTGTAAGCTTTTCTTTTACAACCGTCTCCACTAAGGGGTTCACAGCCCAGTCATAAAAATTTTGCTTCAGGCAGAAACTAGGCAGACAGGAAGCCAAATTCCAGCTTCTAACACACAAGTGCAATGGGAAAAGTCTCAGCTACAAAACAACACACATCAGCGATTAGCCTCCTATTCAAAGCCTTCGCCCTGGAGAAGCTGTATTTTGAGAAGGTCCAGTTGACCCCTCTAGAAATTATTCAGATGAGCTTGAGCAGATCCAGATCTCCATCCCAGCACACAGCCCCAAGGTTGCAACAGCCTGTGCAGTGTTTGCAGGCAGAGCCATAACTCAAAAATATGAGTTGGAGTGTGTAAGTGTGTGTGCATGCTTAGGGGGAGGAGGCTGTCCTTCACATATGTGATTTTTTCATATCATAATTTTAAATTGGATCTGCTAAATCATAAGTCACTCAAAAAGAGACGTATTGTGAAGGCTATTGACCAGCTTTCTTGAATCTCTGGATGTCAAGCTGATTTACAGCCCCTAGAGATCTAGCCTTCCAGGCAAGTGGTAGTGTTTCACGTCCTCTATGACCTCTTTCAGCATCCTACCCTGGTGGAAGAGGGAAGCGATCATGCGTATAAAGTAAGTTACAAGCTGATTAAGGGGCTGTGTTGCTTCCTGCCACTCCTGGCATCCAAAATGCCCTCTTAAGGCAGAGAGTCAAGCTGAATTCAAGCACAGATGCAAAAAATGGCTCTGATTGTAAGGTAATAACACTACAAATTATTGTTCTGAAGTCCTAGTATATATATATTTCCCAGGCAGGCTGGAGGTTTTGGTAGAGCAAGGAGAAAAAGAGGGGAAGTTTAACAAAGGAATGACTGACATTTTCTTTCTCTGTGTTGACTTTTTTCCAGTCAAAGGTTTAAACCCAAACTGGTACTGACTCAAAATAAACTAGCCAGCTACCAGCTCAAAACAGTGGTGACTTTCACAGACTGGCTGAGGTTGGCAGGGACCTCTGTGGGTCATCTGGTCCAACCCCCTCACTCAAGCAGGGCCACCTGGAGCTGGTTGCCCAGGGCAATACCCAGATGGCTTTTGAACATCTCCAAGGATAGACAGTCCACAGCCTCCCTGGGCAACCTGTGACAGCGCTTGGTCACCCTCACAGTAAAAAAGTGTTTCCCGATGCTCAGAGGGAACCTCCCGTGTTTCACTTTGTGCCCACTGCCTCTGGTCCTGTCACTGGGCACCACTGAAAAGAGCCTGGCTCTGTCCTCTTTGCACCCTCTCTTCAGATGTTTGTCAACATTGATGAGATCCCCCTGAGCCTTCCCTTCTCCAGGCTGAACAGTCCAGGCTCTCTCAGCCCTTCCTCATAGGAGAGATGCTCCAGTCCCTTCATCATCTTTGTGGCCCTTGGCCGGACTCTCTCCAGTATGTCCACGTCTCTCTTGTACTGGGAAGCCCAGACCTGGACCCAGCACTCCCGGTACGGCCTCACCAGCGCTGAGTAGAGGGGCAGCATCACCTCCCTCGACCTGCTGGCAACACTCCTCCTCATGCAGCCCAGGACACCATTCATTCGCCTTCTTTGCAGCAAGGGCATGTTGCCAGCTCATGATCAACTCGGTGCCCACCAGGACCCCCAGGTCCTTTTCTGCCAAGCTGCTTTCCAGCTGCACTGTTCCTCCCCAGGAGCAGGACTTCACACTTCCCCTTGCTGAACTCAACCTAGCGGGAACATGTTTAGCATGTAAACTGTGTACGCACTCTGGGGTCTATTCAGTTGTGTCATATCACAGCTCCCCATTTCTACACCTTCCTTATATCCCTTTCCATGTAGATCCCAGGTGTGCAGTTCTTTCTTCTGCACCACAAAACAATGCTGATCTGCAAATCTTCATAGGTTCAGTCTGGGGACTTCTTAAATTTGCATTTAGACACACAGAATCTCCCTTTGACAGCTTTGCAGGGAAATGACTCGCTTTTAGGAGATCTTTGCCGAGAACCTGAAATACAGGCACAAGCTAAATGCCTAAATGTGGCAGAGTGGATTCTATCATAAATAATACCTTCTAATATCTGTTACTAAGACACAGAAATTAGGAAATTAGACCAGAACAATTCATACCATCTTTCCAGGTTGCTGAAAGTTTACTTCCTCTTGTTTGTCAGCACAAGGTTTGTAAATGTTACCTTTAAACACATAAACACAAAGCCTGCTACTAGTACCATTTAGAGATTATTCTGTTATCAAAGAATGTTTATAAAACTCATAGTTTTTTTCCCAGCCACTCTACATTGTTTATTTCTTAATTTTGTCCATCTACTCTCCCTTATATTCTTCTGTATTATGAAAATTAATATTTCTTCCCTGCTAGTAGTTAGGCTCTGCAACTATTTTTAGTTAATAATGATCACTGCTCAGTTGTTTCTTATTTAAGCCTTTTACACAATTAACCTGTGCAATCACTCCTCCCCAGGAGCTCTTTTAAATCATGACTGTCAATGCTACCACCTTATGTCAGTTTCTCCAATGTTCAATAACATTCGTATTGCCCAGAAAGGTTGGTGTTTGGGCAAAAAGAGGGGAGAGAGAGGGGAAGGCTGGCTAAGAAATCAATTTGGGCGTTCTTACTCAATGCTCTTATTTTTCCAGTATCCTCTGGCCTGTTCTTCAGCAAAAGCTACTTTATGCACATGCTTACACAATGGCGAAACTTAGCCCTAAGCGTATGCAAAGTATATAGGGAAAAGAAAAGAATGCATCTCTTGGATCCCAAGGCGGAGCCCCACACGGGTGGCATGACGTTTTTGGGCAGAAGCAGAGCCAAGAGCAGCCCCCAGCTCCCCTGGAGCCTAGCCCACACTGCGCTGGCGCGGCTCTCGGAGGAGGCAGCTGGCAGGGCATTATCTTTGGGGGAGGATTCTCTGCTTTGGTCTAAAAGAGGCCAAATTCAACCACCTCTTTGGCAGTCTGCAATGCACTTATCCGACCACCCGGCCACAGAGAGTTGAAACCGAGGAAGAAGCGTAAAGATTAACAGAGTGTGAGGGGGAAATTTGCAAGTTTTTCTTCATCTTCTTGTTGAGTTCCTGATAATGTTACTGGAGCTTAATTACAACAGCATGGGTATTTGATATTTGTATTACAAATTATGCCAAGGATATTTCAAAATGCATAGATAGATGTTCTTTGTATTCTGTATAATGCCAACTATTTGCTATTTATTACTAGCAGTGTGTGATCTGTCTTTAAATCACATAATTTCCTTTCAGCTCTCCAGATCTTGCAAATGTATGCATCTGCTTTAAGTATGTGAATAGTTTCACTGAGCTCAACAAGACAACTTGTGTGCATAAAATTAAAGCACAAAAATAAGCACTTACATCTAAATGAGTGCAAATTTAGATCTAAATGACTAAAACAGATAAGTAACAACCAACAGTCACAGGCAAAATGAAGTACCCTGAAAACAAGTTGCCATTCATTTACATTACTTCTGTCTAGGACCATGGAGGCTATTGCGCATTCTTGTCTGCCTATGAAGAGATATTTACAGACAGCTAATATTTATAAAGGAGTAAATTTACAGTAAAAAAAATACTCCAGTATTTTTGAGCAAATTAAAAACCTCCCCTCAGTAAATTGTAGAGAAAGTTGGCATCTGGCTCTTCTGAAAATTCTGTCCAAAAAGAACCAAGCATATCAAATATCAACACAAACAAAAAAGTATTTGCATTCATGACAATGCTCATGAATAACATGCAATAAAAAAAATCCACCAACACGATCAGCCCAAAACATTGTTTGGAATTCAAACACATATTCACAAACCACTGCATTCAACTCATTCCAGGCAGCAGACTACGCTATGATTTTTCACACAATACTGAAGAAACATACAATTTCCTGGGGACAAATTTTCAGCAGAACTTCTAATCTACAACTGCAAAAAAGTCTGTGGAAATTATTTTTCAAGTACAAAACCCCTGTTTGAAAAACCAGTGCAAGTCATTGTATTTGCAACTCCTTGTATACACAAGTTAACATTTGTACATGCAAATAATAGTTTTGGTGGATGCAAACAGATGTGATTCTCATTTTTCTGGGTGCAATTAGAGAAGTCTGCTGAAAGCTTGACCCTGAAAAAAGCATAAGATCCTTCCCGTGTTCAAATTTGAGCCAGAAGTCATTGGATAAACTTAAAACACACCCTGTCCTTTTATGCATCATAATTTCTCCAAGGAATGTATTTACATTTTATGTGTTCTGTTGTAGAAGAGGGAGCCTTAATGATTACAATTTGCCATCCAGAACTTTATAGCTAGTCCTTGCAGAAAATAGCATTTCTGCCAAAAAGCTTCCTGCCCAGGTGCTTAACCAATTAGCTCGTAAGAGGTCTGGCAGTAAACCCAGTCATGGCAAGTTTTCTGATATACTGTATATAAGGTGACAGCTTGCAAAATGTAAGATGAAAATTTGTTTTCTTAACTAGCAGTGTGTAAAGTCTTGGGAGACTATTTGATTGCATAGCCTAAAATGCTTATGACATCTCAAATTCCCAATTGATCGAGTGTGGTTTTAGCAATATGTTGTCAACTTAAACATATTGTGTTTCTTTTTATAAATACTTTAAAAATAATTTCCTTAATTGTGATTGGGTGCTGCAAATATGTATGAAGGATGGAGTAACCCCACAAGTTTGAGGTTTGGGGCCCTTCAACTTTTTCCAAACATTTTTGTTAACTCACAAAATAAACGCAAGCTTTCAAAAGTGCCTTTTCTCCACAAATTACACCCACTTTTTATAATGGCATGTTAGATTTAGAACATATTTTTTACAAGTGGAGTAATTTGCAATGCAGAGAATAGAAGAAAACAATGAAAGATAACTATACCGTAGTAAAACACATGAGTTCTCCAATTCTGGAAGCAAGAAGTTTGTATTATGTGGTGATGGCAGTGAAAAGATCAAAACCCACTACAGAAAATCCTTGAAGTGGTAGCTGCATAATGACAAAGTGGGTCTGTCAAAAATGATATAGAGAACATACAAAAAAGCTTGGTATTGAACTGGAATATCCATGTGGGTAGTCAATACATTTGAGAAATTTCATCTTCAGGAGTGCTAGACCTGAGGGAAGATGGTCTTTGGCAGAAGCAGTACACGGGACTTGGTACCATAGAAGTGGATTTATTTCACTGTTCAGCCCTTGCATTTTAACAAGGTTTTGATACCTGAAACTCAGTGTGCATGAGGCTACCATAGTGAGGACTCTGAAAACTTGGATCATGGGATAGGCAAGTGTACTACATATGAGAACACACCCCCTTGTGCATGTAGGATGCACGTAGGAGTAAGGGTGATGGCACTGCAGCAGGAGGGAGTCCTGGAGCCCATGCTCATGTCAGAAGGCTCAGTCCTGTTACCACAGCTCCATGGAGGTCTTCCTGCTGCAATCCCACTGCAAAACCTTCCCAGGACTGGGCTAGCCCTGTGCTGACTGCCTCTCCTCACAGCAGACAGCAACAGTCCCACAATAATCTTCCTCCTGGATCGGGGGATAGCTCAAAGCATCCTGTAATGTTTTTGCTTTGCAGCATGAGCTCTGTGGCACCCTGGTCTCCCTTAGACATCTATTAGCAGACTTTGTGAGCCATAAGCCTCGAAGGAAGTCCTACGGGCTCTCCAGAGGTAGCGTTCTAGTTTCCAGTGGGTTTTCAGGAAAACTTGCTCCCTATGGCCTCTGTGGTAAAAGGCAGGGTCTGCCAGCCCCTGTGCAGCTGGGTTTCAGGAAGAAACTCTGGCATGGGGTCTGCTGAGATGAAAAGTTGGTGTGTGGAACTAAGGCTTGTGTGAAAACAAGATTTCCCATTGCCCATGTTATACTGTGATATCCTTTAAAGTTCAAGATGCTTTTTTGCTCCATACTAATTGAATGCTGTCCGATCATTTTGCAGAGGGAAAATGAAGTAAAAAACCACATTGTTAACCCTGATAAACATTTGAATGAGGAGTCAGAAATTCAGATTTCCCAGAAGGCTGAAATAGACACTCTGGAAAACCTCAGGAGTTACGGCAATAGGGCATTTCCTTCTGTACTAACCCTGGCAGTCCCAGATGCTATTCAAGAAGATGAGATTGCAATTACATTGGAAAACCAAGAAAACTTGCCAGAAGGTAATGTTCTGAAATATAGTCTTGGCATCTTAGTCTGAAAGGGTACTAGGGTATCTGTCTTGGGGGAAAAGGGAACACAATTCCTGAAAATGCTATAGAAATATCCTTCCACTTTGTTTTGAAATTACAAGTATTTTGAGCAATTGTTTCCCAGCCCCAAGTTTGGTGATTGATTTAATTTTGATCAGGTGAAAAAATTAGCAGGTGAACACCTGATCCACTTCATACTCTGCAGGTACTGATTACAAATAACTGTTCTGTGTCATTGGGCAGGTTAGTTCCTCTATGAGTCACCCTGGGATGGTCCTAGTACATTAAGGCATTTCCAAGAACAGACATTTATGATTATAAAAAAGGAAATTATTTACATTCCCAGGATGAATGTGGGCATGGCGCAAGTGTCACAACTTCACTATACTCAAGAAGGGGTTGCACTCACATATATGGCATCATTTTCCGTAGTCTCAAAAATACAGAAGATGCACAGTACTGCATAATCAGAGTCCAGATCTGAATTTAGACTTATTTCTGCTCCTAGTCCATATTGCATGCCCACAGCTATTTGCATATGTGGCATGGTTAAATGAATGTGATATAGCACCAGAAGCATAAATGAATAATAGTCACTAAAATTAAGCCAGGCAACTTTATGCTGAGATGCTCATTTAAGACTGTTCACCCAACCAAAAAAACTGCCGACTGCCTACCTGCAGATCATCATTTGCTTTAAATACTTGGTGCAAAATTTCTAAGTCAAAATCTACTTTTATTTATGCCTTTACAAGTACTGACTTTTTTATTATGGGATGAAGCTGGTTTGATATTAACATGTTATTTTTCTTGAAAATACCATTTCCACAGAAGCTGATCTTATTTATTCTATATTCTATTTAGTTTCCAAATTTGCAGGCAGAGAGTTGGTCCACCTTGGACCTCCTAAGTCACCAAGCAAAAGTACGCCAAGTGAGCCCATTTATCAGCCACTTTTGGACTTCCGGGAGAATGTGAATGATTTTGAAGACTTGACTGAAGCCAAAAACCCATGTCTTCATGAGAAATCACCATCCACACCAACAGATAACCAACCTCCGTCTTCAAACGTCCAAGCAATGACATGTACAAGCAAAGCACCTCGCAGGTTGTTAATAGAAAACAGAATTATTACCAGAAGTCCTTTGTCTCATCAGGACATGAGGTTTAAAGATCTTCTGAAGGCAGTAGATGACAATATTCACATCCCAACACAGTGGCACCTTGATGAAGAGGGCACTGATGTCCTCATGATTGACCCTCTCCAGCTGTCACCTTTCCCCAGGCTGCGACAAGCTGCCCTGAGAGAAAACCCAGCTAGAAAGATTTCCTGGCTAGGGACATCACAGCAACATACAAATATCTGCCCTCTGGTTTTATGTAAAAGTTCAAAACCACCAGCCTCCCCCACGTCCCAAGAGCACACATTTACCATAAGAAGTATGAGGCAGTCTAAAGAAAAGCCAACCCATTTTTTCAACAAGAAAACTAAGAAAAACTTTGTCCAACTCAGACACATACCTAGAACTACAGTTTTAAATCTTCCAGTTTTATCTCCACCATATCAAACCAGGTTGGGTAAAAATGCAGAGATTCTAAGATTAAATTTTGCATAAATAAAACACGCACAGAGCATCAGAAGAAAATAGGATGAAGGGGCAGGAAAGAAATAAAGATGGAGAGAAACAGAGAGCAAGAAACGGAAGGCAGGAGAAAGAAATCCAATCTTAAAATGAGACACCTCCAAACACAAAGAAGAATGATATGATTTAAGCTGTGTATCCTCTGATATTCATCAAACATTGGGCTACAAATTTTGCAGAGCGCACCAAAGACACAGAAAAACGGATGCCACTGTAACAGTACAACATCAAGCATGTTTAGGCAAAAAAGTGGACACTGCAGGCAGAAGATATGATTTTAAATATTTTGTATCAATACATGTTGTCCCAAACTTGTGTCGCTTGTACTTACACATTTCATTCAGGAAATAAACCTGGTCAGGCAATTGTCATTAAGCTGTGAGCATAATGCAGAAGGTAAACAAACAGTAACAATGGTGGAATAATTGATTTTGGGGGGATTGTCATAATAAACAAAATAGTCATGGCACTGATCTTTTATTTATTTATTTATTTATTTATTTTAACTGTGTGTATTCTAATTAATGGAGACTATGCAACCTAACTCCCCTGAAAGGAACAAATGAATACATTTTCCTTGTAAATTTAGCAGCTTAATTAGGACTGCCTATTTGTAACTGTGTGCCTTTGCAACATTTTTCCCTTACTACTGAAAACATGCATTTGCTTTCAGTTTCAATGACTCATGCTTCTTAGTCAGATTTTCATAGTACTAAGCTTTGAGCCTGATTCTGTCCTCAAACCAGTTTTATATCACTTTAAATCCCTTAAATTCAACAGATTTGAACTTGATTGACTCCAACAGAGGTAAGGATACAATGGGAATCTGCATGTTTGCTGCTCTGTAAGCTCACATGTAGAAGTAAAAGATGTGCAAACGGTTTCTAAGTAACACCAGATAGATACACAAAGAACAGCAGCAAGAAAAAGCCACAGAAGGCGGCATAATCCTAGGAACTAAAACCAAGGCTTTTATCAGACAAGCACCGTGGTAAGCATTTGATCACACCAAGCGGGATCAAACCTGTGGTCCCATTTTACTCTGTCTTGTCTTCCCCAGTGCGCCAGGACCACATCGATGGGGTGAGCTCTTCATGGTCCACGCAGCTCCTGCACAAGCGTGCCGCACCGCCTCAGTGAGGGCAGCTTATGCAGACCTGCGTGGGTGCCAGCCACTCCGACCTCTCCTCAGCTGGGCTGAAACAGCTACTGTGGAGCCCTGCTCTCAGCCAGCCCTGAAACAACTTCTGAATAACAGAGCTGGTTTTAACCCAGTACATCTTTGCTGACCGGGCTTACAGGGCAAGTCCAGAGCTGCAGCTGAAGAGCTGGAGAGGAAGGATGGGGCGTGTAAGCAGGAATTTATTACACCAGCTTCAGCACTGAAGAAATCATACTGTGTAACTTTGTCCTGTGAGCGTGTGGCTGCAAGTCAGACGTGCCACCTGGGCTTGCAGCTGAGCTAGGTGGAAAAGCTAGTGCCTCTGCCTGTTGTTTTTCTCCAAAGCTTAAAGTCTCCTCAGAGCATAACAGCTCATGTAGTCACTCCAAAATCTAGTTGATCAAAATGATAGAGGTTGGAAAGAAACTTACTATTAAAAATGCTTGGAGACCCCAGCACAATTTGGCAGAACGTGGCCAGGAAGCAGATAGATACACATGTGGCATCTGCACTCTGCTCAGAGGGCAAGGAAGAACCACTGGTCCCTGTACAGGGGCAGGTGGCAAGGAAGCTTAAATCCAGCAGTTTCACTTATGCAGACCTGAGGTAATGAGCAGCACAGGGGCCATTTGCTCTGCTTATAACTCTGGCACCATGCAATTCAGAACCTAGAGGTAGCTGAGTGATTTCCAGATAATGATTTTCTCAGAAAATCTGATTTCCTTAGAATTTAGAAAATGTTTATGTCTCAAAAATATTTTTAGCTTTGAATTGCCCTTACAAAACACTTCTTCTTTGAATATACAGTTTGAAACAAATTATTTCAGCTGTAAGTTGACATTTCAATTTACTGTTCCCTTTCACAATACTGAAGTGCTTCATTCTGACCATAAATGTCTAAAAGCTTTTTCCTCGACATCGTTTTTTTCTGAGAAAAATTTCTTTCCTTGACACTTTTTAATATTTTGTCTTTATACTTCAATTCCAGATGACAATAATGTCAAAATGCTCTAACTTTTTTCAACGAGTCGAAACTCCATTTTTCCAAACAGCTCTACCACCATCTTGCAGCTCCTCCATGAGCCCTCAGAGACAGGAGAGCAAGAGGAGCTTATGCTTCTCCTTCACCAAGTCAGTCCAGGTGTGCCTATGTAGGTGCCAAGCAGACGACAGCCGCAGGAGAATACCCATTCCCCACTAAAACAAAGCCCAGAAAGATCAGTGTTAAGTGACTGTGCATCATGACCCAAGTGCAGAAGAGCCAGCTCTTCCTGGAGGAGCTCCAAACTATGATGCCTTCATCCTCCCGTGGCCTCAGCTGCCTCCAGCCCAGCCTCTGCTCTGGCTGCAGCAGAGGACAGGGATTTCCAAGGGGTGAGACACTTACCAGCGATCAGAGAAAACATCAAGCCTTTGCGGGGTCCCTGCCACCTCCCTATTCTTTCCATCTTCAAGGTAATATGGTTCTGTGATGGGTTGACCCTGGCTGGACACCAGGGGCCCACCAAAGCCACTCTATCACTCCCCTTCTCAGCTGGACAGGGGAGAGAAAATATAACAAAAGGCTCTCGTGGGTTGAGATAAGGACAGGGAGAGATCACTCACCAATTACTGTCACGGGCAAAACAGACTCAACTTGGGGAAATTAGTTTAATTTATTACCCATCAAAACAGAGTAGGATAATGAGAAAATAAAACTAAATCTTAAAACACTTTCCTCCCACCCCTCCCTTCTCCCCAGGCTCAACTCCACTCCTGATTTTCTCTACCTCCTCCCCACCAGCAGTGCAGGGGGACGGGGAATGGGGGTTGGGGTCAGTTCAACACAGGTTGTCTCTGCTGCTCCTTCCTCCTCAGGAGGAGGACTCCACACACCTCCCCTGCGCCAGCGTGGGGTCCCTCCCATGGGAGACAGTCCTCCACGAACTTCTCCAACATGGGTCCTTCCCACGGGCTGCAGTTCTTCATGAACTGCTCCAGCGTGGGTCCTTTCTGCAGGCTGCAGTCCTTCAGGAGCACACTGCTCCAGCATGGGTCCCCCGTGGGGTCACAAGTCCTGCCAGAAAACCTGCTTCAGCGTGGGCTCCTCTCTTCATGGGGCCACAGGTCCTGCCACGAGCCTGCTCCAGCGCGGGGTTCCCATGGGGTCACAGCCTCCTTCAGGCATCCCCCTGCTCTGGTGTGGGGTCCTCTCTCCCCAGGCTGCAGGTGGAGATCTGCTCCACCGTGGACCTCCCTGGGCTGCAGGGGGACAGCCTGCCTCACCATGGTCTTCCCCACGGGCTGCAGGGGAATCTCAGCTCTGGTGCCTGGAGCACCTCCTCCCCCTCCTTCTGCACTGACCTGGGGGTCTGCAGGGCTGGTTCTCTCACATCTTCTCACTCCTCTCTCCAGCTGCAGTTTCTGTTCCGCAGCAACTTTTTTCCCTTCTTAAATATGTTATCACAGAGGTGCTACCACCATCGCTGATGGACTCAGCCTTGGCCAGCGATGGGTCCGTCTTGGAGCCGGCTGGCATTGGCTCTGTTGGACGTGGGGGAAGCTTCTAGCAGCTTCTCACAGAAGCCACCCCTGTAGCCCCCCCACTACCAAAACCTGGCCATGCAAACCCAATACAGGTTTCTTATTTCTAGGACTGGTTTACTAAAAAGTAAGGCAATATCCCTTCTTCTGCCCTGTCTGGCCCTTTAAAGGTCACGGTGCTGAAATAAATGTTTCTTCAACATGCCACAGCTGAGTATTGCTTTATGGACTTCATGTAGACAGAAAAGAGATTTTCTACCTTTGCTTTCCATACACTCATTTAAGGACTAGCTTCAGCCTGGCCTTCTCCTGAGCTGTTCCAACACCTCTGAAACATGTATCTGCAGCTAGCACAGAGCAGCCATATCTGAGCAGGAACACTCATCTACCACGGATATTAACACTTTGAAATAAAAGCCCCTCATTCCTGAAGGGGAGAAGGAAGGAGTGCAGTTAACGGGTCAATGCCATAAAAGCGGGTCCGATAACGTAGCACATGACGATGGAAACACCTTCAGGCAGCCAGACTGCCTGGGTGGCCCAGGCAGGGAGATGGTGCCAATATTTTAACAAGTGGCTCCCACAAAAACATTTTCCTTCAGCAGGTGATAAATTTATGCTTCAGGGATGTGAAGTCTGCAGAAAGAAGTGAGGGGCTCTGGAATCTGCGCTTTTATTTAACAACGTAAATTAAAAAATATGCTTCTAACTAAGGAAGGGGACATCGCTGCTTGGCAAGAAAATATACATTAAGACACACTTGGCCAGAAATGCACTGAGTCATGCAGAGGAGTGTTTGACCAGTGCAATTCATGTGGGGGGACAGGAGGGAGCTGAACACCTTGCACAGGAGTCCCACAGCATGCTACTTCAGGAACGGTTATTGAAAATACCTAACACTGAGTAAAGTCTTATTACAACCCTGATAAAAAGCCAATGCTAATAAGATGCAAGGCAAGGTGAAGTGGAATAGCAAGGCTTTCACACATCCTTTCTCACATCTGGTAGCAGAAATGTAACAACAGGCTCCCAAAGAAACAGCTTCTGAAGGAGCATTTAGCTACTTCATTACATCTATAGCGGTCCCTTGTACAAACAAGCTTCGCATAGAGTCTCTGCTGGGACTGACACTGGATCTTTAGGTCCTTCAAGTCAGTCTCTGTAAGTGGATCCTGCTATTTGCATGGTCTGTCAATGCAATCATGAGAGATTCCCAGCCCTCCATTTCATGGGTTTTCCATTTACACATAGGAAATGGCACCTTTTACTTCTATCCTGTTTCTGAGCCATATTAATAAGTTCAACTGCTTTATGTATTACCAGTTTCAACACTGTTCTGCTTTTCAAATCACAACTGTTTTCATGTCAGCAAAAGAATTTCAAACCACAGGAAATTCTGGGGATGAAGTACAAATATACACTTAGAAAAAGCTATCAGGAAGCAGAATCAAACCTACAGTTGGAAAAATATGAAAAAAATGTCACTGCTTTCATACTGCACTTTTAATTTCATCATTCTTTAAACACATAAATGAACAAGATTAATAATTCAGCCAGTGAAGGAATTTCTGTTTAGCCTCTGAGAAATCCCTGAATAATTCAGAAGTTCTGACATTAGATAGCCTTTGTCATGCTGACCCATCCACCCTGGGTAAAACACTGAAGAGAGATCCAAGTGACTGACCCATTCTCTCACAGCTGTCTCACATTACAGCTTATGAACAACAAAACTCTGCAAATCAGAAGCTCACAAAAACAGAGAAAGCAGCTCGTGTTCACCTCTTGTGTGTGCCAGCAAGATGATGAGAAAGGGCAAACAGGAGCATTTTGCTCATTCCTTATAAACAGGGTGTTAAAACTACAACACCTGATCTGCAGCCCAAGGAAATCCACTCCTTTGACTTGCCCGGGCTTTAATCTTAGGGTATGTTAACGGTTTAAGAAATTCAGAAGATATTCATCATACAAAAACCATTTTAAAAGAAATCAGTGTTTGCCAAACTGAAAGCGAGCTTGAGAAATATATAAACACGTTTTCTTCCATAAAGCAGCACTTACAAATTTTATGTTCCTTATATGTAACATACATTTGCCTCACCCATATATCTGAAATGAAAATCTTTCAGTATCATAATGACAATGACTACATACACCTTTCCTCTCTTTCACCACTTTTTCAGTTCTGGTTGTTGGTTTGGGTTACAGATTACATAGATGGATACTACAGAAGAATGTTAAGGTAGTGAACTAAAGAAACATTGTCTTCTTAAGAATAAATATTTGAGATTTCTGCTAGGACTTCTGACATAAACTATTCCAGCATGAGAATCAGCAGAGACCCTCCCACCAAGTCCACCATTTTCCTGGCTGTAGTGTTTGGGCTCCAGTCCCTTACATACACATATTTTGTGGCTAATCCATTAGAGAGAAAGCGAGAGAGGCTTTCAGGAAAGAG